TATTATTAAAATTACAAAGGTATAATATATATTAATGTATCATATACTCCCCATTACAGAGTGTAGATACTATTATTAAAAGTATAAAGGTATAATATATAATAATGTATCATATACTCCCCGTTATAGGAAGTAGATACTATTATTAAAAGTAGATTCGAAGACTTTCATACTAAATAACAGTTTTTTTCTAATGAAAGTATTTCAGCAGATTCATAGAAACCCAGTTACTCTTCCTATTTTTTATCTACTTACGGTTCAACTTCGTCGTGTGGGACAGCTTTGCTGATGTTTATCATTTAATGTACAAAATCTCAGCCCATTTGCATGCAAAAGGAGTCAGGATGTTTCTTTTTGTTTCGTCAATCACGTCAAGTCGAAATAAAGCTAAACTGCTGCAGTACAATGTGAATCATCCGTCGTCTTTACATCAGATCAACTCACAAATATCTTCTTTATGCACTTTGAAACGAACTGAAAGTCTTTTCAATAATATTACTTTAAGAGGTCCATAAAAGTCCAGTTAATCTTCAAATCCATTTTCGTAAAGTTTTGAATTCTTGCTCTGATGTTGTCCGTCACGATGGGACGGACGAAAGTCTAGCTCAGGTTGATCGGAGGGTCGCCGGACGATGAGCCGAGATGTTTGCGGCAATCCTGTTTCGGCGTCAGGTGAGACCATTTTCTGAATTGCTGCTAACCAACTTTCCCTTCGAAAGGGAGAATGGAGTCCCAATTTTCGACTGCCTGTTTCTACGAGGTCCTGTTGCAACAGATACCTCATCTTCCTCTTTTCCACCCATGCCCAATGTCCTATTCTCGCCGCTGTCTCTTTGGGTCGCGGCCAACCTGTACGTGGCACTCCTCTCCGTCCGACGCGGTAGACGTGGACGAATGCAGCAGGGACAACGGCGGCTGCCAGAAGGAGTGCTGCAATGTCCCGGGCGGACACTACTGCAAATGCCCGCCGGGATACTTTCTGGCGCCCGACAGGAAGCGCTGTCTCGGTGAGAAGATGTGTTCTTTCAATCAAGTGGAAATGCATTATTCGATGGGATCTTGGCTTTTCGTGCACTAAAAGTCTCATTCAGCGTCAGGCATTCTAGTCGGTTTCAGAGTCAATTGTAGGTGCCATGGTATTTTGAGAGAAAATAAGGGTCCACTAGTTCGTCAGCATTCATCAATCGTGTAACAACGGTTTCGATGAATCTCGTAAAAGAACAGTTTTACAAAAACTCTTGTTTCGTTTACAAGTGGCCGATGATGCTCTGCAATCATGCGACTTTAAGACACATTTCACGTTGACGTATTCCCGTTTTGTAGATGGTTGGATGACTATTTAATCATTTGGCAGCATGGCAAGAAGAGGTTAGACAATTGTATACTTTCACATAACCAGTGTGAAAGCAATGGCAAGTTTACAATGACATTAAAGTGAATATGAGTTCACCTTTTTGGATGGCATGGCCATTACAGAAGGTGGCAATTTGAACAGAGACGGTTGAAGGTAGCCAGCATATGCTGATTGAAGTCACACATTCTATAATCTATGATTATTATGGGTATGAGGCTTGCGGATGGAAATAATCTGATTGAAGTGTTAAAAAGTCGTGACATTTAATCCTAGAAAAAAAGTATCCTTTAGTCGAAGGTATGAAGAACAAGATGGTGGGGCTTTTTGTGTGGTCGCACCTTTTCCGGAGTCCATAGTATGCATGATCATTTCCAAAGTTGAACCGTGGACGTGGTACATTCCCATTCGTAGCACCACACAAAAAGGCGTTAAAGAGACAAGTGAATCCGATCCTTTGACCAAATGTGTGCTAAACAATTGTGGTATCTCTCCTTCTGCCCAGGGTTATTCGCGTTTCCGGTATCATCTTATCATGCCTTCACTATTACATTTTTAACCGTGTTTATTTAAATAGTGTGGGCGACATGACACCTTCACACTCCAACTCTCGTTCTTACCCCTCCTCCTTGATCCTTGTGCAGGGAATGTTGATCAGAGTCTGCTTTATTATTATTATGCAGTCCTCCTACCCTAGTTCTTATCCCAGTCTCTCTCTTGCTCCGTAAAATCCGTCTGCTCTCTCCCTCGTTCACATATTTCACTCGACTCCTGTCACTCTATCTGTACCACTCGAGGCGTTATTCGCCCTCCCCTACGTCTGGGTGACTAATCCGAGACGCAAGCCTCTGAGTGTCATGGTCACCCATTTCCTACATGTACAATATCTCTGGTACCAACAGACCTACCGTCAGCCAACTAGCCCCGATCCCCGCCGTCTCTAACCTGTTTCTATTCCTAATACCAAGTCTATGATTTGCAATGCCCAGTCTCTAGTGTGCCCAGCCCACAAATGTTGTGGTACAGCTTGTTTTGAATTGGTTCAATGTTGAACCACAACATTTGTGGGTTGGCACGCAAGAGACTAGAGCATAGGAAGTAATCAGCTTGGTATTATCGATAGAAAGAGGATAGAAAACAAAGTATCCTTTAGGTTTACTTGATACACCACTACACTACATCGAAATAAGCACAGTAGAAAAGTGTAACAGTTAAGGTGTGATAGGAGGATATG